TTTTTTTTTGGGGGGGGAGGGAGATGAAATAGGGTGGAAAAGCAGCCTTGGCATTGGGAGATTCAATTCAGTCATGGACACTCCTGTACCTGGAGAACTAGGTGGGGACGGTAGGGGATGGAGCAGAGGCACATGTGCCTTGGCACAGAGGCTGTGCAGACAAAAGAAGGGGCAGCCACCGTGTCCTGCCACAGAGGAGGGAACCGTGTCCTCACCTAGGGCTCCAGACACTCCAATTGCCCACACCTCCTCTGCCTCCCGGTCCTGGCATGGCCAGACCAGCCCCCGTAGCTGCGGAGACTGCTTCCTCCCTGCCCTGGCACCGCTTCCTCGTCCACGTCCCCCTCCGGGTCCTTTAGCGGGAACCCGGATAACACGGAAGGGAACTCGTGGGAAAAGCGAAGCCCAAGCCAGAGGGGCCGCGAGGAAGAAGCGGGATTGAGCTGGGACTAGGGCCAGCCGGACCTTCATCCTGGGAGGATCAACCTTGGCCTGGGGCTGCCCCACATTACACTGTTGGCAAGTGGCCCGACAGAGCACCTGCTGAGACCACTGTCTGTCCCCCAACCGCCCCGTCTGCATCAGCGTCCGCCTCTTTTGATGGCTACCAGAGTACAGTCGGGGGAACGCTGGCGCGCGCCAGAAGGACTGTGAAGGTAAGGAGTGCGCGAGCTCGGGCTCCGGGCAGCCAGGCTTTGATTCTGGGAGGATCAGCCTTGGCCTGGGCTTTGCCCATTTTAGAAGGTTTGCTAGAGGCCAGCTGGACTCTGGCATTGGGAGGTTGAGACCGGGCATAAAATGGGTAATGAGCCCCATTCTGGCCCGACAAGACGGGTATATGGGAGCAGGGAAATGGGAGGGTCAACGCTGGGCACTGGACTGTGGCATGCCCTCCCTCCTGCCAAACACAAATAGGCACACACACACACACACACACACACACGCAGGCACACACAGAGGCACTCACACTACTAGAGAAAACAAGCAAACTTTGTTCGAGAAGACGGTGGAAAAGTATGCCATGCCTTGGCATTCGGAAATGCGCCCTGGCCTGGGCAATTCGATTTGGGAGTTGTTTGTGGGAGAGGGAGATGAAGCAGGGGGCAAACAGCCTGGCCTTGAGGGACTCTCCTCAGTCATGGACACCTCTGTTTCTGGGGATTTTGGGGGCAGAGCTTAGGGGAAGGAACAGAGGCGCCTGCGCCCAGGGGCAAGTCTTAGCGTGCAGATGAGCCCTGGCAAAGAGGATAGGCAGAGAAGAGGAAGTGCAGACACTGTTCCCTGGCACAGAGGAAGGCACGGAGCTCCAGACCCTCCACCTCTCTAACACCTTTTCTTCCGGCCACACTGTGCCAGGGCTTGGCTGTCTGGAGCACCTGCTGAGACCGCGGCTCCCGTCTAGCGACAGCACCGTCCTCGTCCGCGTCCTCGTCCGCGTCCTTTGGTGCCTACCGGAGTAACGCCTGAGGAATGTTGTGCGCGCGCTAGACGGAGTGCGAGGACAAAGCGGGCGCGAGCTCGGGCTAGGGACAGCAAGGCTTTCATTCTGGGAAGATCTCTCTTGGCCTGGGTCTGCCCCAGTTGAGAGGGGTTCCTAGAGGGCAGCTGGGCTCTGGCATTGGGAGGAAGAGACCGGCCAAAACGTGCCTTAAAGTGGGTAATGAGCCCCATTCAAACCAGCCAAAAGAGGAATATGGGGCCAGGGGACTGTGAGGGTCAACGCTGTGCGCGGGACTGAGGCCAGACCTCCCTCCCACCAAACAAATACAGGTTCACACACCCACACACCCACACCCACACCCACACACATACACTCACACTCACACACCCACACACCCACACACACACAGGGATAGACTAACAGCACTAGGAAAAGCAACCCGACTTTGTCCCAGAGGGAGGTGCAAAGGCATGCCATGCCTTGCCATGGAGAAGCTAGCGCTGACCTTTGAAACTAGATTTTGAGGTTGTTTACAAGGGAAGAATATGAAGCAGGGGGGCAAACAGGCCAGGCACCGAAGGACTCAATTCGGTCAAGGGACAGGCCGATCTCTGAGCATTTGGGGTAGAGGGGTTAGGGGATGGAGTAGAGACACCTGTGACTGGGGGACTCTGGCGGGTGGGCAGATGTACCACAGCAAGGAGGGTTGCCAGACAAGCAGAGCAACAGACACTATGGCCTGGCATAGAGGAGGGCACTGTGCCTGCTCCCAGTTCTACAGATCCTTCACCTCCCTAAAATCTATCCTGGACTGGCCCTGGCCTGGTGGGGCAAATGCAGGTACCAAAGGAGACAGCAAAGTCCTTCCCCAGACTGCTGAGTCCACATCTGCAGCATTCTGGAGAACTCCCTGCTTCCCCCTTTCACTCTGGCTTAGAGGTGAGGCCTTCTTCTTGCTCGGGATCATGTTTATGAACTCCCCTGTGGGCTAGGAACCATCCTCCCCCTGTGGGTGGAGCAGTTGCTCCCACTGCCCTCTAGACCCAGCAGCCCTTCCATCCTGCCCATCCTGCCCCCATTGTGGCTGCTACTGGAGCTGACTTGGAGCTTAGTCCAAGGGTGGTGATGTCCACAGCACCTTGAAACTCTGGCTGCTGAGGCAGGGAGTGGAAATGGCCTCCAATATTCAGGAGGGCTGCCTGTTCCTCAGAGATGCCCAGAGGGTCAAGGCCAACTAATCTTTTTTTACTATTATTATTTTGATTTTAATTTGCTAATGTTTATTTTAAAACTTTGAGTTTCAAAGTCTCTCCCTTTCTCCCTCCCCATCACCACCCCGTCCCTGAGAAGGCAAGCAATTCCCTATACTTCATGTATTTGTTCTCATGATAAACAAAGCCGTAACACTCATGCTGTGAAAGAAAACATAGACAAAAAGACTCAAGAAAAGTAAAGTGAAAAAAAAAAAGAGTTGCTTCAATTTCTATTCAGACACCATCAGTTCTCTCTCTGCGGACGTGTAGCATTTTTCATCCTAAGTCCTTCAGAGTTGTCATGGATCCTTCCTTGTATTGCTGGGAAGAGCTAAGGCACTCCCAGCAGATCAACTTACAATATTGCTGTTACTTTGTACCCAGTACATTTCACTTTGCATGAACCCATGTAGGTCTTTCCAGGCTTTTGGGAGACAACCATGGTCATCCTTTCGAGTACTATTTATATGTTAGAGAAATGAGGTCTTTATCAGAGAAACTTGCTTCAAAATTTTTTTTCACATTTTCTTTTGCTGCCTGTATTTCCCTCCATGCTATTTTCCCACCCCATTAATTCTATTCTCTCTCTCCTTTCATCCTGTCCCTCTTCAAAAGTGTTTTTCTTTTGCTTACTCCTTATGCCAATTTGCCCTCCCTTCTATCACCCCTCTTCCCTTATACCCTTCCTCTTCTATTTTCCTGCAGGGTGACATTCATTTCTATACCTCTTGCCTGTGTATTATATTCTCCAGTGACACATAAAACAATTTCCACATTCTTTTTTAAAACTTTTGAGTTCCAAATTTTCTCCCTTCTTCACTCCCCACCCATCCTCATTAAGAAGAGAAGCAATTCAACATAGTTTATACCTCTGTAGTCATTTCACACACTTCCATAATGGTTACATAGTGAAAGACGAACTATATTTCCCTCCACCCTATCTCACCCCCCCATTTAGTCTATTTTCTCCTTTCACCCTGTGCCTCCTCAAAAGTCTTCACTTTTGACTACCCTCTTCCCAATCTGCCCTCCCTTCTATCACCCTCCCTCTTATCCCCTTATCCCCTAATTTCTTGTAGGATAATACAGATTTCCATACCCAATGGAGTTTGTATGTTACTCCTCCTGAAGCCAATTCCAAGGAAAGTGAGGTTCCCTCACTCCCTCTCACCTCTCCCCTTTTCCCCTCCACTGTAAAAGCTTGTTCTTGGCTCTTTCAGAGGAGATAATTCATCCCAGTCTATCTCTCCCTTTCTCCCTCTCCCAATACATTCCTGTCTCACCCCTTCACTTTACATTTCAGTTATCATACCTTCATATTCAACTCACCCTGTGCTCTCTACATATTTTCCCTCCAACTACCCTCATCCTGAGAAAGTTCTCATCAGTTACAAATATGATCTTTCCATCTTTCCATTTCAGGAACTGGAAGGATTGCTCACAGGTTTATGCCTCTTCTAGATTTCTACCTCATTATTTTTTTTATGTCTTTAATTGAATTTTATGGTAAACTCAAACCATAGAACACAAATACAGAATAGAGAAAAAAACTTATCATAAACTTCAATACTGGAACTTAATTACAAAGTAAGAAAAAAAAAGGCTGTCACATGTAGAGCAGAAT